GGATGGGGAGAGGCTGCGCCAGGAAGGGCCTCCCTGCGCCGCCGCCCGGGCTCCTGAGAGCCACTGGCGTGGAAGGAAGCGCGAGGGGTCTGGGCCCTAGGGACCGCCTGGGCGAAGGCTGTCTGGGTGGGGGCAGGGGTCCAGGGGTAGGGATCCAGGTTCCCAGGGAGTAGGGGCAGAGCGGGTGAAGAGCTAAGGCCGGGGGTCTCGAGAGGGGTCGGGAGACCGGGCCGGGGGAGAACTGGGGACCTGGGCAGGTGTCGCAGGTGAATTGAGGACATTTCCTTCTCCGCGTTACGGTGGCAGATCCTCGGAGCTTCTTTGTTGGGGATGATTTTTAGAGAGGCAGGTTCCATTCAACTCCGTGAGACTAAACACAAATAAAACTAACTAATGAGCCCCTAGTGCTGACTCTCGTAAAGAGCTGTAACTTTTCTGCATTGAGGATGCTGTCATGTCTTCCCCTTACCCCCTCTGCTTCGTAGACCTTTTCCCTCTCGAAGATCGGGCCACATCAGAGCAAATAAGAAATGACCCAGTTTTTAAATAGTAACCCCCTTCGTCATTACGTGTCTGTTTCACACGGGAAAATTTAGGGCACTTACCGAAGTTACTCGTTACGTGTGAGAGAGTCAGCTCCAGTAATGAACCCTCAGCTGCTGGCGTGTTTTTGCCTCAGAGAAATTGTCAAGCATTGTAGTCTGGGTAATTGATTTACTGAGCCTGCTTAATTGTGTGCAAACTCGCGTTAAGGTGTTCTCCCTAGACCCAAATTTACTGTAGCGATAGGTCTTCCCTACTCGTCTCCCGTTTTAGAAGGTGAAAGGTATAGTAAGATTAGAGAACGTTAGTGCTAAGGCGCTAAGTTATCAGTAAATATTTGATTTGAGGTGATCGTGTATATTAAGCTGTCTGAAATGCAGCGCATTGTAGGATTTTATGTGCACACGTGATAAGAGCAAAATTAAGAGGAAAGTTTCATCTCTGAGCATTGAAGGATACCTGTTCTTCATCAATATTACCATGAAAAACGCCCCCTATGTTTTATTTTCTGCCCTATTCTTTGTATTACTGTTTGAAAAATTGGTAAACTGTCTTCTCGGTGTGAGACTGGAAACTCAGAAATAAATTTAGAGTTGTATTCTTGAGGTTAATCTGTCTCTCATAGGCTTGCTTTGACTCGTTTTCTAGTAATGGCAGGCTCAATCCACACTCTCCCCTCATTGATATCTCCTGTGGCTGTTTTGCAAAATGATTGAGATTAGGGATCCATCTTTTGTATTTCTAATTTTACTGAACTGATAATGGGTCAGTTGACTTTGGCCATAGTACCTCACTTAGTACTACTGTTTAGACTCGTTAATTTGGATAATGGAAAAGCTATGATGTTAGAAATTTTGAAGTTGTATATTGGAGTAATTTACCCTTGTGTATTTTGTAAATGAGTGCATTCTGTTTTTGAGAGTAAATACAGTATTTTGTAGTATAAACTTGAGCTTTCAGCTGTTAGAAATTGGCAGTAGAGTTGGTGTGTGGAGACTGTTCTTAAAATGCAAGTGTTTTAAATTACAAGGAACTGCAGTGGTGTAAGCTGTAACAATTCATGGTGCCAGACTTGGAAGGTTATTTGGTTGAGGTGCTCTCTATAAAGAAACATGTTATGTATCTGCAATAAAAACTAATTTGTAGCTATACTGAAGGGCTTTTGCATGATAAATAATAACTCAAGGAGGCAGCTTTGCTCTTATATACATCCCAGCTGAGACCAAAACATCTCATATTTTCATTGGAGTTTCCTGCCAATATAAATACTGATTTTGCATTGGTTTTGCTGCTCAGTTTTAAAGTTAGATTTCAGTGTTATCCTTGCAACTTAAGTACAGGTTGTAAAGTGAAAAAGAAAGCTGCTGAGTCAGAGGGAGATTGTCTCATTTGGTCTTTTTGATTTGCAAAACAGAATTTCTGTTATAATTTGTATTTCCAATGTAATATGTTTGCTGAAACTTAGAAACAAGTTGTACCTCCTCTTTCAGACTGTCAGTTTGACAGACTTGTAGTCATGGGATGCCTTATTGAAACTGAAGTTTCCTTTATAAGAGTTGAAACTTCGGGAGTGAGTTTAGGTAGTACAGCTGGTGTAAAATGGTAGGTTTTTAGCATCAAATTATAGGAAATTCCAAAATCAGATAATTTTATTTTTTTGAAATTTAAGATTGTGTTTCATGGGAAGAAGTTAGGTACTTTATAAACTTAAAAAATTTTTAAAATATATGTCAGTACATAGTACATGTAAATAAGTGTAATAGAGCTTTGTGTGGTATTTGAGAACGTTTTATTGGAAAAGAATATAACACGATTAAAGGAAATTCAAAAGAAAAAATTGTCATCTTTCTTACATTTTTCTCTAGTCTAATTCTTCTATACTTATATATTAGTATAATACTATACTGATCCTATGTATACTTGTGTATAATTCTGTGGTTAGTGTTTATATACTTGTCTTCTTAAACATAGCATGGTGCTGCATATTGCTATTTTTTGATTTTGTAGTATTGCAGAGTTTTACTGTCACTGTTTATTTAATCATTCTCTTTTAATATTTTAGTACTTCCACTTTTTCAGTCTTAAAATAATGCTATAATTAAGTCATTTTGCTTGTATAATGGTCCAAGCCAAATTGAACTTTTGAAATTGTGGACATTCTTTGAACTACTTCCTTTGCAGTAGATCATGAGGGTTCCTGTAATACGGTGTTTGAGAACTGAAAGTGGGTGAAAAACTGTAGATGCGTATGTGTGACTTGAATTCATTGAGTAGGGATCAAAATATAAATTCGTAATTCTGTTACTAACTTGCTACAAGTTTCTGTGTCTGTTAATTTTACTTTTCAATATAATAATATTCTTATAAAATTCTTAATTCGTATAGTAATATTGTGGGGCATAGATATCTAAGTGTACTTCATTTCTACAAAATTTAATATTTACAAATCTAAATTTATAATCATTTGACTTATGGAAGAGTCATTTTATAGGATTTAAAAAATCTTTGAAATATTTCAAAGAATTCTTTGAATTTAGTTTGTCATTGTGTATTTGTGATTCATTTATATCTTAATTTAGGGATGGTTAGATCCTAAAAGCATAAATGCTAGGAGTTTCTGTTTTTTAATTGTGTAACAAAGCATGTATTAAATGGATCCTATGCTATCTGCGAGGGATTAAAAGATGAATAACGTACAGCCTGAGTATTAAAGTCTAGTGTGATAAACACTCTCGCAGATAAGCACCATAACTACCACATGACAAATCTAGAATAGAGCAAACGATACTATAGGAGAGAGGGAAATACCTAAGTGTGTTTGGTGTGCATTGGAGATGGTTTACATAGGAGACATTTGATTTAAAGCTCAAAGAATTATGTGAAAAGGCACAAAGTAATGGAAGAATGTGGTGAGTTTTATTAAAATGCAAGTAATTTAGTGTGGAGGCACAGGTAGTTTTGGAGGGAAGTGGGGAATAAGCTGGAGGGGTAAGTAGGGGCTGTGTCATGAAGGGTCTTAAAAGTCAAACAAGAAATAGAAATCATGTTTGTAGGGAACAGGGAGCCATTTAATGATTTTAAGCTGTTAAATATCTTTGGCTCAGGTGTGAAGAATGGAATTGGGAGAGCAGCTTGAGTAAGGATGCACGTTTATCAGCTAGAAGATCTGGTAGGCATCTAGGTGAGAATTGAGAAGAGCAATGGTAGGGATGGGAAAGAAATAGAATTGAGAACTATTATGTAATGCAAACATTTTACACCGAGTGAAAAGCCCAGTCTCCTTGGCCTTATCTTTTCCTCGCCCACAGTGCGTCCGTCACATGAGCCTACTTTCA